ATGTGCATGGGGGTGGGTTGGGACCGATTGCCATCCATCCCGCGCCCTCCCGCCCGCGTGCCGTTCCGTGCGGTCCTGTACAATTTCATACACATACCTTTCCATATACCTATATATATCTATGTATTTTTTTCTGTATATTTCTATATATATCTATATATATATATATATATATCTATATATATATATATATATATATATATATATATATATATATATATATATATATATATATATATATATATATATATATATATATATATATATATATATATATATATATATATATATATATATATATATATATATATATATAAAGTCCTCCAATACTAGGTATATCTCGTTAGGAAACTTTTTTTAAAATCTTAACATTTTTCAACTTTTTTCTCTTTAAATATTTACACAATTCACCTAAAATTTGTAAATTGTAAATTTTTGGTCCATTATTTTTATAAAGTGATATTTAAATTTTTTATTCTACCATTTTGAACCCCTGGCAAAAATCCTTGATCCGCCACTATATATATATATATATATATATATATATATATATATATATATATATATATATATAAATAAAGTCCTCCAATACTAGGTATATCTCGTTAGAAAACATGGGAAGAGTTCAACAAGGAAACAAGTATCTCTACGTATCTCTCTAGAAAACTTTTGGAAGAGTTGAAGAAGAAAAAGAAGTCCAATAGTTAATTTATATATAGACGGACGGGTATATAATTATTTATGTACTCCCTACAACTCTCTCTGTCTTTTTCTCTCAACAGATTAAGAGATGGGAAATAATAATAAACAGATAAAACTAGGGACCGGCGGCAAAGGTAATGAATCGACGACGAAGACGATGATATACTTTCCTGACGAACTTGTTGAAGAAATACTGTCACACCTTCCTGTGCAGATTCTGATCCGCTTCAAGACTGTATCCAAATCATGGAACAATATAATCTCTTCCCCAAGTTTCGCGAAATCGCACCTCAACAATTACGGCAAAAACAACTTCTTTGCTCTCCTCGCCTTCGATGTAACCACCGAAAAGTGGAAACTATCGTTGGCCACGTTCGGCACATCGTCGGAATCGACAACTGTAGTTGTTGGTGGCCGCCGTGCAGAAGAAAAATTTATTGAATTACCAATATTGAAGTTGAAGAAGTATGAGATCAGACCTCGCAAAGGCAAAATCATAACAGCAAAAGACAGAGTCATAACCGTAGGGCCGTTTAACGGTTTCATCTGCATCCACGGGATCCAAAGGATTCAAGATATTATCCTATACAACTCTTATAACCGAACAAGCGAGATTCTCCCGAGCGGCGGTCCAATTTCCGACGGCGATGGTATCAGATTTGGCAGCAAAAGAAGCATGGGATTTGGTCTAGATTTTATTACCAAAGAAATCAAACTAGTGCAACTTTTGTCTTTTTATTTTTGGGTCGATAGAGGATTTGTAAGCGGAATCCGCGTGGACATATACTCCCCGAGCACGAAAACATGGAGACAACTCGACCGAGACGTCGCCACAACACAAATTTTGGTAGAGAATGCAATTGGGTCGTACAAGGATGGTTCGTTTGCTCATTGGCTAGAATGTAGGCAAACTGATATAATATCTTTCGACATGAAGAAAGAGGTCTTTGTGACAACGCCCCTTCCCATTCGAATACACAACTCCGGAAAGAATATTAAGATTTTTGTCAAGGAGAGCAGATCGCTTGTCCTATTCTTATATCCGGATGTTCAAGTTTCGGAAGAAAACTACTTGTTCGATAGATGGGAGTTGACCGGTTTGGGGGAGCAGGGAAAGCACTGGTCCTTGTTGACGCGTATCGGACCTTTTTTAGGAGTGTGTAAGCCTGTGGGAGCTTTGTGGAGCAGCCATGTAATTGTTGTGAGGGTGGGAGATAATAAGCTGGTTTTCTACGATTACTCGACTCAACAAGTTAGAATAACTTATCACCTCGAGGACAACAATTACTATAATTTCATCAAAGTTCTCGACTATAAGGGGACTCCGTATTGGTCATGTATAACGAGTTGCAGTGAAGATAGATGTTCCTTGCCATAGGATCTGTTGGACGAAAGATAAGAGTCCATTCTACCCGCCCGAGAAACATGTTATTTTTTTTTAGTAATTTTTAATTTTTACCCGAAACTATTTAGAAATTAAAATGAAGGGTCTATTTGTGAGAACCCTCTCTAGCATTATTTAATGAGGATGAGTCCACCTCATTTTTCTTTTTTAGTGAGAGATCTATCCTTCTTTTTATTCTCAAATATATCCTTCCTCTATTCACTACCTATTATACACTAGTTTGATGCACTTTTTATTTTTTACATTTTAATTTTAATTTTCTTTATTTATTTATTTATTTCTTATTTAAAAACTAATATTTAAAAAAAATAATTTTTTAACTTTTTATTATATGTTTTAAATATATTGTTTACTATATTTTCTTTCTTTAGTTAAAACAACTATATTTCATAAAACAACTATTATTAAAAAGTTACTATTATTAAAAAGAATTGTTATTAAAACAATTATGATTAAAACAACTATATATCTCCAGCAACTTTCATTTATCAAAATCAACTATTTGTTACATCAACTATTTATCAAAATCAACTAAAAATTAATAAAAACAACTATATCGCTGTACGAAAATAACTATATATCTGTAAATAACACCAACACAATTTCACCAATAACAAACATCCATTATACTATTGATTGAACACAAAATTAGCTTTCAATATAAGAATTCAACCAAAAACTCCAAGTAAGAATATTGAGATTCGAGAATTGGGTTAAAAAAAATCAGAGAAGAAGAAAAACAGACGCAATATTAACCCTAGCGCCACTGCATAATCTCGTCATTCTCCCTAGTGAAAACCCTAACGCCGTCCTTGACGAGAGAATTCCAGGGGTGAAGACCGCCTTCTTTTCGCGGCGGTGGAGGGAGGGAGGCCGTTGGGAGAAGAGAGTAGGCACAGAGATGGAAGAGGGTTGGAGGTGGTGACCGCGGCGGCGCATAGATGGAAGAGGTTGTAGAGAGAAAAGACAGAGGGGAATAAGAGAAATAGAGAGAACGTGAAATCGGTTTTGTTATTTTAAATATAACATGGAAGTGCAAATTAGATATATTAGTCATGTGAAAATACAATATTAATTCAAAAAATTATTTAATATAAGGTGGGGGTCTCACCAATAATGAAAAAGAGGTTATATTCACCTTAATATAAGTAAATGAGTTGGGGGTTTTCACTAATTATCCCTAAAATGAATAACCAAGCGTAAAATCAACGTAAATAATATCAAAGATATATCTCAAGAGTAAATCAAAATAAATAATATTTAACTATAAATGGATTATAAAGAGTACATAAATTGAAAACTTCATAGGACAAGATTTAAAATAAAAATACATAACTATAGACAAAAGGAGATTTAAAATAAAAATAGATAACTATAGACAAAACGATGCGATATCATCCTTATTGATATAAGTTTTGACATGTAACATATACTTTATTCATGTATTATATAAAATTAATTTATAATACAACATAATATAACAAAACAATGTTGTTTTGTATGGCGGGGCATGACTGGTTTCACGGGTATTAAAAAATTTGAACCCGTCTTAGACCCAAACCCGCGAATCTTCTCCATTTAAAGACCCACTCCTATTGATGGATCTATCCGTCCGGTTCTAGCGGAACGATTTTTACCGGGTTTGACTTGTTCAACGGGTTGATGGGTTCGACCTACCCACCCCTTCATTCTATACACATTTTAGTAGGGTGGAAATCGGACGGAACAGTTCGGCCGCGGGCACTTCAAGACTACATAATCCCAACTCTCGATGAATTCTGCCCAAGCATTCAATATCCACCCATTGAAGCGCACAATTCTGAGATCAAGCAATGTCTCTTGACGATGCTCCAAAATAACCGGCTATTTAGTGGATTGGCAGGTGAAGATCCCCATCTTCACATTGTCAATTTTCTAGACACCTGTAATTCCCATCGTCAAAACGGCGTTTTCCAAGAGGAGCTTCAATTAATTATCTTCAAGCACTCCCTACAAGGAAAAGCTCGCCAGTGGTTGATGTCCCAAGCCCCCCACTCTATCTCGTCTTGGCCTCAACTCTTAAATCTTTTCATGAAAGTTTACAGCTCACCAGAAAAGGACGAGAGAATACGATGGGAAATTCATAATTTCGTCCAAGATCAAGGCGAGCAATTATACGAGGCATGGGAGAGATTTAAGACCCTTTTGAGGCAATGTCCAACACATAGAGTAGAGCAATGGCGGCAAATCCACATTTTCTACCAAGGGATTAACGAGAATGCACGAACCGTCTTAGATGCATGCATCAACCGGGGTTAACTTTATGAGTCAATCGATACCGGATGCATTTATTATGTTGGATCAAATTGAACAAAATCGGTTTGCCAAGTCAAGCGAAAGGACGGTTAGTGGAACAAAGAAAGTTCCCGGAGTGTTGGAGTTATATGCAATTACGGCCCTTCAAGCTCAAGTGACCCAAATTGCTCAACAAAATCAGCTCCTTCTACAACACATCAAAGCAAATCCACCACAACAAGTCCAAGCCGTTGATTCTCCATGTTGTGAAATTTGCGGTGGAAATCATTACACGCTCCAATAATTATGGAATCGCTCAACTACGTCAACAATGCGCCTCGCCAATTCCAAAATCAAGGGTGGAGATCATAAGGGAAATACGGAAGAAATCAACAAGGCCAAGGATATCAAAGACCTCAAGGTCAATTTCAAAATCACGCCCCTCCTCAACAAAACTATCAAGGCAACAATCCACCAGCACAAAAATCAAACACGGACGAAATATTGGCCCAATTTATGACCGCTACCCAATCCTTACTGCGGAATTTGGAGAATCAAGAGAATCGTCCGGTAGGAGCATTGCCATCGAATACGGAAGATCCTCGAAAGCAAAAGCTTGAGGCGTGCCAAGCTATCGATTTCAAGAACGAGGAAAAGGAAGAAATTCGAATAAAGCCGCAAGTCACTGTAGCTGAATGGGTAGAACCAATCCCATATCCCCAAAGACTGCAAACGAAAAAGATCGAGGCACAGACGGGCCAAGCAGTCACCTTGAAGAATGGTAAGCAATTGGAGGAAGCCCCGCGAAAAGAGAAGAGAAATATGGTAATCGAGAAGATGAAAGTGATTGAGTAAAAGGAATCAATTCAAGAAGAACCTCCATCAATAAAGGTTGCACGATCCCCACCAATTCCATATCCTCAAAAGTTTATAAAGAAGAAGCTCGATGCCGGATACTAAGGATTTTTGGACAAGTTGAAGGAAATTCGCATAAATATTCCTTTCATCGAAGCACTTCAAAAGATGCCAAATTGGGTAAAATTCCTCAAGGACCTCAGGAAAAAGGGCAAGAAATTGCAAGGGGAACGAGATGATCCAACTTATCGAGCAATGCAGTGCAATTCTTAATCGACCCCTTCCACAAAAACTCGGCGATCCAGGTAAGTTTACTATTCCTTTTACTACAGGAGGTAAGATTTTAGATCGCTCATTGATTTAGGCGCTAGCATTAATCTTATGCCTTATTCCCTTTTAAAAATCTTGGGTTAGGAGAAATTGAACCGACGCCTATAACTCTTCAATTATCCAATAGATCTTTGGTTTACCCTAAAGGTATTTTAGAGCATGTGCTAGTGAGAGTTAATAAATTTATCTTCCCTGTCGATTTCGTTATACTTGATGTAGATAAAGATAGGGATATACATCTTATCGTAGGGAGGCTGTTTTTAGCTACGTCGAAAACTCTTATTGATTGTGCTAGTGGTGATCTTACAATGACGGTGCATGATCAAACGATCAAATTCAATGTTTTTAGTGCTAATAAAAATCTATGTGATAATAATGATTGTTTTGCTATTGAGCTTACGAATTTTACAATTCATGAAATTTGTTGATGTTTTGATCTTGGACAATGGGAAAACATCTTTGAGTGCAGGAGATGATGGCGGAAACGGGAGTCGGACGGAGCAAGTTTATTTTGTGAACTCAATTTCTACTCCTCCGAGAGAAAGTCATAAGAATTGGGGTCCTAACGACTATAAAAGTGCAAGGAGGATGTTGCCACCCAAAAGAATCGAGCAAGCCACGAGAGAGGGACGAATCAAGCTATTGGGGTCGTAAGGATAAAGTCAAAAATAAATTGCACAAAGGAAAATTGGTGTTATTGTGGAAATCTCGTCTTTGGTTATTTCCAAGGAAGCGCAAATCAAAGTGGCCGGAGCCGTTTATTGTCCAAGAAATTCTTCCTCGCGAGGTAGTCAAGATAAAGGAGCCAGATTCAAATCGTACGTTCAACGTGAAACGGAGCCGGCTCAAACCGTATTGGGAAGCGAGTGAAGATTGCCAAGTGACTTCGGTCACTTTTGCTTGAAAATATAGAAGCAACGTCCGACAGAAAAGTTTAAACTTAGCGCTTCTCGGGAGGCAACCCGAGCTTTATTGTTTTTCGTAGTTTTCTTTGTTTTTTTCGTTTTTTTTTTATTTTCATAGGCATGCATTCTAATTAATATATTTGAATTTTAATTTTCAGGGTCGAAAACATGATCAGGGGGTCTAGACGGCCGTCCGAAATCGCAAGCAAAACCCCTGACGGCCGTCTGGGAAACAGAAAGCCAGGCTCAGCAGCCTTGCATATGAGACGGCCGTCCGAAGATGTGCCTTAATTTTCTGACGGCCGTCTGACATCCAGTAGGGGGGGGGGGGGGGATTTCGGACGGCTGTCCGAATTAAATTTGGGGCGTTTTAAAGAAGGAAAATCAGATTTCTTCCCCATTATCTTCCAAACCCTTCTCCTTCCTTCTCTCAAACTCCCACACCACAATTTTCAAATTTTTGAATTTCTCTTCTAAAACTTCATCAATTTCACACACATAATTCAATCACGAGTTCTTCGATTCTTATTTTGTATTGGTATTGACAGGGAGGCTAGATAATCAAACCAAATTCTCCAAAATCTACTTATTCAAGGCACGCCTACAAGGTGTTCGACATTTTGCTCCAACCAAATTTTGAGTTCGATTCTCTACCAATTCCCACCGAATCTATTCCAACATCTCTCCCAACTATGTCGTCCAACAAAAGAGGCCGCACGAGCGAAGCATCATCTTCCAAGGGAAAGGAAAAAGGAAAGAAAGGTGCCACCAAAACGACGATCCCCCAACCCGAAAAGGAAGCCTTTAGTGTCGAAGGCGCCCGCCGCGGCTCTATTCGATAAACAAGCCAATAAAACCGTCATCACGGAACGAGCTTTGACAATCACCTTACCACACCTCGCCGACCTTAATCAAGAAATTATAAGACGAGGGTGGCAAAGGTTTTGTGAACTGGAGCCGATTCACAACATCTCGATCGTGCGAGAGTTTTACTCTAACACGTTGGTACTCAAGCCTCCACGACATTCGACAAGTGTAGTACGCAAAATCTATGTCGAGTGGGAGACGGACGATATAAATCAATATTACGGACTCCCGTATTTGGGTCAAAGCTGGCGAGAGATGAGAAACGAAGTCACCAAAGAGCAAATTGGTGAAGTGTTGAGTGATGGGCATCCAACGTGGATCAAATATCCAGACAAGGGGACATATGAGCTCAGTTGGAAAAGCATCAATTATGAAGGCAAGTCATGGTTGACTTTTATTTGCGCCAACGTAATCCCGACTACCTCGTTTAGTCGGATCAACCACGAACGGTGTGCGCTCGCCTATTACATTATCACGGGGAAGCCAGTCGACATCGGGACCATTATGTACGATCAATTATGGCTGACCATGCACGACAATTCAAAGGGAATATTCTTCCCTAGCTTTGTCACGGGATTGTGCAAAAGAAAGAAGGTCCCCAAGCTACCGAACGATATCGAACTCACCATCCGGAAGCCGATTGCCGATTTTGCGGCTTCGCAATTCAAAGAAGCAACCCATGACGAGGCACAAACCTTGGCCGAAATTGCAGCCGCTCCTCAAGCCCGAAACGACCCCGAAGCCTCAAGCTCCCGTGCCGATCGACGATTCCAAAAAAAGATGGAGCGCGAGATGATACTTACGAGGAACCGGTTGACTACCGTCGAGCATAAAGTCAACACGATAAAGGCACTTCAAAGATGGTCGAGCGAGATGTTACAAGCTATGTTGCACGGACACGGATACGTGGACACGGCGATACGCGGATACGGATACGGTGATACGGTATTTTCAAAAAACTAGGATACGGACACGCGGGGGATACGCGTAAATATAAAAAATGTAGGGGTAAATTTATGAATAATAAAAATAGAGGGGTACATTTATAAATTGTAAAAAAATATGTATAAGTCGTCATCGCATAAGAGAACCGCCCGCCCTTGCTGCTCGTGTTCTTGGTCGCCGTCCCATGTTAGACTTTTGGAGTTTTGGGTGGCTCACAAAAAAACAGAGGAAATGTGTATTACAGAGAAAAAAAAAATGTGCAATTTTTTTTATTAGGGCTATCTCTTAAAACATAAGAGAAGTGTCCCAACTTTTTTGAAATTGTGGACACTGCCCGACACGGGTGTCCTACTTTTAGCGAAATTACGACACGGCCCGACACGGGTGTCTGAGAAGTGTCTAGGTGTGTCCGAGTGTCCAGGTGTCGGATACGGGGACTCTTCACCTTCTAGAAGTGTCCGTGCAGCATAGGTTACAAGCTATTGTCCAACACTTGGGATGGGGGATGCCCGATTGTATCGAGCCGTCACCTTTACCATCACCCATTCTTCAGCCTGTACCCGAGCTTTCCGATGATGAGGGAGCATGAGAGAGCTAGGAGGAGCACCCCGATCACATCAACTCCGATTAGCCAGGTGTTTTCTATCCCTAAACTTTGTGACAATTTCGTTGAGGGTAACGGAAATTTTAAGTTTGGGGGTCTTTTTTTGTGTTTATTTGCTTTAGTTTGCATGAATTAGGTTTTATTTATTGTTATTTTTCTATTTTTATTGCTTTCGTCGTTTTTTTTTTTTTTTAAATTGCTTGAGTCGAATGCATCGATGATTTATGATGATGACAGATGATCAATGTTTGATGATGAAATTGCTTGTTTTGTGTGATAAATTAGATGTTTGTTTAGCTTTCGACTCAACGAAACTTAGAAACGAATTATTGCTAGGAATCACCCTTTGTGCATTGCCTTGGTTGAATGTTTTGTATTTTAAATTTGGAATTAATTTGTGCTAAATCATGCTATGTTCGGTTTTAAAACTCACCTTAGGAAATTTATGATGCGAAGTATTGAAATAGTGAGTGATTTGGGATATGATTTGGGCCTTCTTTGAACCGTTTGAGCTTTTCAAGCCGACCTTTTTATCGAAACTATCCTGAGAACCTTGATTTGAGCCTCGGAGAAAAGGTGTTCTTTCTTTTAGCCAATGTGTATAAGGTAGAATAGATGGAGATTCTTGAAAAAAATTACCCCTTGGAGTTCGGTTGGAATTTTTTAAAAGTCCTTCTTCTTCTTTGAAAAAATAATTAAAAATTAAAAAATAAAAAAAATAAAAAATAAAAAATAAAAAATAAAAAAAGAGAGAAGAAGAAGAGACTAGAAGGGAGAAGTAAGGACTAGTAGTTGAATTGTTTTGAAAGCTCGAGCCATTGTCTTAAGAGCAAAAGTGGAGACTTTTGAACTATTAAGAATCGAGTTTATTGAAGTCCTTAGAGGTGAATTCATTGTTTCACACGCCTACCTTTCAAATTTCGGCGTAATCACCTCAATTCAAGAAGAATAGCCCCATATACCTATATTTCCTACCTCGAACCAAAGAGCCTAACAATTGAAAGCCAAAAATCCCCAATGATCCCTATAGCTTAATGTTCGATATTAGTAGAGTAGAATAACTTGGTGAGTATTTGGAGTCAAAACATATGCATGTAAGCATAAATTCTTTCTATCTTTAATTTACAAATATTGGATGCTTGAAGCAATTGTATGATTTGTGGCCTTTTGCAATAGTAAGTGACTAAGAGCTTTTGAATTTTGAGCTTGCGAATGCCTAAGAATTGTCATTATAATTACAAGTTCTGAAAACGTGAAGTTGATCATTGATCTATGTAATGAGATGTAGTAGTTGAGTTATTTGCTTATGAGTAGATTTTTCTTGAGGACAAACAAAAGTTCAAGTTTGGGGGTGTGTTAAGTGTTATATTTTTACACTTAATCATACCTTTTAATTGGAGCTTTTGGTGTGTTTTAATGAAAATTGGTGCTTAAAACATTGATTTATTGTATTTTAGGTACAAATTGAAGAATTGGAAAAGTATGGGGTAAAAACGGCAATTTTGGAGAAAATATGGGCCAAAAGTGAAGAAGTCAAAAATTTGAAGAATTACGGTCGTCCGAGTTTAAGTACGATATCTCAGACGGCCGTCCGAGATAACAAAAAGCCGCAGTAAAGGGGTTTTAATTTGCATAAGGAAACTGCCTTCTTCTCCAAGTTTTCCACCCTATATAAGACCAAGCCAAGCAAACAATTGGGGATCCATCTTTTACGCAATTTCAAAAGCAACGAAGCAATAACGAAGACTAAGAATTGAAAAATTACAAGCATAATTTATCTTTTCATGAATTATTACTTTGTTTTTACTTTAATCATGAGTAGCTAGTTTACTTATTTCTAGGATTTTATTTTGAACCCTATGTGGGATTTATGAACCCTATTTTACGATTTCATACAAGTTTAAATTCCAGATAATTTCTTCTACTTGTTTTATTAAGTACATGAACTTGATCACTTTATGTGCTTTTATGTTATTGTTAATCGCATAAATCGGAAGATCTGGTTAATAATTAGAACTGTGGTAGAAGAGTCTTTGTGTTATTAACATATGAATATAGTTAATCTGTTAGGAAGCCATTATTGAGATTTGTGCTTAATGTTGTGTTCTAGAATTAATTGCGTAGGAATATAGTAATTGAGTCTTTAGTATTAGAATCGTAATACACGCGGAAGCGGTTTATGATTAATTTAGCATGTCAGGTTAATAATCCGGATTAATTGCTTGCATAATTGAAGGAATTGGGGGAGTAATAATCACATAGGGGGAAGAATAAAATCCTAGGCTTGTTTACTTTCATTAATCTTCGTGTTTAAATTATTTCTTGCTTTGTCCTTTTAATTTGCTTTAATTTAGTTTATTTTAATTTAGTTAATTTTCTCTAAAGTCGACTGTGTAGGGTGGGCTTGATAACAATTGGTAGAATTTAGCGTCTAGGATTAGATAATTAAATATTCTCTGTGGGATCGATACTTGGACTTAAAAATCCGCTTTATTACTTGTACGATACGTGCTTTTGCGTGTAGGTATTACCACAAAAAATCGTCAGTCCATGTAGAAGGTAAAACTCAATTTTTTTTACATCATGTTGGATCATTAACTCTGGTGTTCTAATCATATATGCAAGTCTCTTTCATTTTTATTCATATTTTCCTATTAGTAAAAATATATTTGTTCAATTGGCTGATGGTTCTCCCAAATATTTTCCCATTCCATATTTCAAATTCAATTTGTTATCCATTTTTCAATCGACGAAGTAAATTATGATAACAAATTTTCTTCTTCTAAATTAATATTTCATAACTAGTTAATGAAGAAGAAGATTGGTCGAGGTAGCGTTCACAATGATATCTTTTTTTTTATCTAGATCCAAATTTAGTTTTGGATTCTGCATTTTCTTTTCAGTTGTGTAATAAATTTGATCTATGGCATTTTCACCTTGATCATCCATCTAGGGTTCATTTTGATTTTATTGTTAAGACCTTTTCCAATATTATTGGAAATAAGGATTTTCTTTGTGAAGTTTCTCCACGTGCTACACAATCACGTCTTTCATTTTCTCAACGTACATCATGTTCTTCTCATTGTTAGAATTAATTCATGTTGATATTTGGGGTCATTTCTCTATACCCTAGCAAAATGGATCTCGTTTATTCTTACCTACTGTCGATGATTATTCAAGGTGTACTTGGATTCATCTCATGCAACATAAATCTGAAACATTAAACAGGTTAATATCCACTTCTATAATCAATTCAATTGTCAATTCAGTACAAAAAGTTATCGTGCCAATTTTTGGAATGGGGATATTTTTCTTTCTCAACTCCAAAACATTTGTTCCGATAATTATTCTGAATTTCTTCTAAACAAATTCAAAAATGCTTTTATAATAATGGAATCATATATCAACATAGCTGTGTCGCGACCCCATACCCCACAAAAAAAATGGTATTTCCGAACGTAAGCATCGTCATCTACTTGATGTTGCTAGAGCTCTATGCTTTCAAACGAACTTGCCATTTTCGTTTTGGGGGTGAATGCATTCTCACTGCTACATTTATTATTAATGAACTTCCAAATCCAATCCTTGAATATAAATCCTCTCATCAAATTTTAATGGGAAATGTTCTATCATATTCCTCCATTTGTGTTTTTGGTTGTTTATGTTTTGCTAAACATGTCAAAATTCAACATAAGTTTGATGAGCGAGCAAAAATTTGTAAATTTGTTGGTTATTCATATGGTCAAAAAGGATATCGCATATATGATTTCAAAAGTCATATAATCTAAGTCTCACACGACGTCGTATTTCATGTGTCAATTTTTCCGTATCGTGATCTTGAAAGTTCATCCTCAAAAGATATAATTTCAATTACTCCAATCAATGATGATGGAAATTTCGACTACATGTACACTTCTTCACTCATTAATCCCCCTAATATATTTTTGAAGTATTTTATTTCTTATACTAAAATAATTCGTTTGAGTGATTGATTCTTCACAGTTTCCTTACTCATCTTCTGAATCTGATAGTCCAACCATTTCTCCATCTACTTCTTATGACTCGCCATCCACTGATTCAACTTCCACAAATATTGTCCATGATCATCCTCCACGAGTTCATCATCCACCGAAGCGTCTCAATGATTATATATATAATCATATTTCACTCTCCATGGACATTCTATTGGCAAAATATTTTTCTTTATCACATTTCAACCATTCTCATCGCGCTTTTCTCACTAGTATCATTACAAATCAAGAGCCATGATCTTACTCTGAAGCCATAAAATCTATTGAATGGCGTGACGCCATGTCGAAAGAAATTTGAGCTCTTGAATCAAATAACAGATGGTCTTTATTTCAACTTCCAAATGGAAAATCGTCCAATGGTTGTAAATGGGTCTTCAAAATGCTTATTTTCAATAAATGAATTTCTTCAACTTCCACTATTTTATTATTATTATTATTATTATTATTATTATTATTATTATTATTACTATTATTATTATTATTATTTTTATTAGTATTATTATTATTAAATATCTATTTATTTTTGTGGGGCGTCCGATTTTATTTTGAAAAATATTTTTCTCATAAAATTAAAGTATATCAAAAAGCCACAATAAAAAAAATGATTTTCTTTATCTTAAACTTGAACATATAAACTAATTTTAAATTTTCATCTAATTAATTTCAAATGTGGGCATTTTATCTTTTAAGATATAATTTATTAAATACTTCATTATTTGTTTTATTATTAGATTTTTTAATCAAATAATAATCCATGATCTCATTAAAAAATAAAATTTATGATGTATTATAAAATTTTAATGGTAAATATTGTTGTAAAGATTTTTGAATAAATAATAGAGCAAATATTGTAAAAACATATTTTCGCTCTGATTTTTATGATAATTTATATTGTGCGTCTTTATGATAAATACTAGCTAGATGAAAAATATGAGTAATTGGAGAGTTCAATACAAGTAATAATAAAACAAAAAGGAGCAGAAATTACAAAATAATAAATAATTATAACTGATAAATACTGGGTTTTTTTTAGTATTGAGTTTAAAGGATTAAATTTGTAAAATAATGAAAGAGTTGTCTTAAAAAAAATAAAAAAAGGGTATAGTCGATATAACATGTAATCTAGGGAGATAATTGAAGATTTTAAAAGTAGAGAGGAGGCAAGTGAAGTTTTTTGTTTAGTACAGGGAGGAAAGTGAGATTAACCCTTCAATGTACAATAAACATAAAAGTTGAGGGGCAGAGTTACAATGTTTAGAGAGTATAGGTACTTTAAAACGTTTTCTACAAAATTGAAGAATCGGCGCCATTTTCTATTATTATAAAGCTTAAGTGCAGCTTTCTATTTCTCGTAATTTAATCAATTATATATGGTGTGACCATCTCTAATTTAGATTCCTTATAAATATTATTATTCGTGGATAGTAGTAACTCATTATGCAAAATAATCATTTTTAGATATAATTTTTTTTTAAAATACAATATGAAATATCCAATTGACGGAAGATAGGCAGACCTCCAGTCTATATAATATAAATTCAAGTTAAATATTTCATACCACAATCCAAAAGTGACTATATATATCAATAAGAAAGAGTCAAATGAAGACCATACAATCGACAACAAACTAATGAAAACAAACTAAAATGTTGTCATAGTTAATTCATACTAAAAATAATGTTAGCAAAAGGCACAAAACAAATTCAACTTGGCAAATGTATGGACGTACATGAATGTAGCCAACGTGCAACCTCCCCAATTATTGCAAAATCAATAAACTAATTAGCTAGATAATTATTATCAAAGCAGATATTAGTTGCAACCACTCTTTGTTTATGTATGAAAAAATAAAATCATAATGATTAATTGAATTGAATTTATAAATGAAAATAAAATAAGTTGAACCAATTTAGAAATATTTCGTATATGTAACAAAATTATTATAACAATTAAACATTTCCACACAAAAAGAAAAAGAAAATTGACAGCATGTTGTATGACCATAAATGAATATTAGCACATGAAATTATGGGGTTTTTTGCATACGTCCACAGCCAAACATCTTTATTATTTTAAGTTTAGAGGCTATATCTCTTTCACCAATAAGTCCATCTCTTTAATATTTATTATAAATAAAGGAAACATTCATGTATATGACAATATTACGCCCAATCCTTTATACTCAATTCTTAATTGTAACCCAAATTTAATCAATCTTGTCCACAAAAATCGAATTTTGGCCACAAAAATCCAATTTTGACTTTTTTTTTCAACAATTTTTTTTTTTCAATTTTTTTTTGCCGCCGGATTCCGACGTTGACTTTTCGTGTTTTTTTTTTCTCCCCGATTTTTTCTTTTTTTGGGTTTTTTTTTACGTCCGCCGTTAAACGTAGACCGTAATTGTGCTGTCACTGACAGTAAATTAACGTAATTATACTGTCAATGACAGTTAATTAACGTAATTGTACTGCCGTTGACAATACATTTATGTAATTATTCTACCGTTAACATTAAATTAACGTAATATTATTATTTTTTATTTTTTTTTTATTTTTTTTTATTTTATTTGATTGTTGACAAGTCAACGTAATTATATTAATGTCGTTGACAGCAAAATAACTGTAAACACAATAATATTACTGTCAACAACATCAATATTATTATTTTTTTTGTTTTTTTTGTTTTGTTTGAGTTATTCACGGAGTAACGTAGTAATATTACTGTCTACTATTGTAATATTACTGTAAACACAATAATATTACTGTGGTTGACGGTAATATTACTGTTGGTAATATTGTTGTCAACCACATCAATATTATTTTTTTGTTTGGATTTTTTTGTTTGTTTGAGTTATTAATCACGGAGTAACGTAATAATATTACTGTGTATTATTGTAATATTACTGTGGTTGACGGTATTATTACTGTTGTTATAGTAATATTAGTGTCACTCACAGTAATATTAATTCTTTTGACTTTTTATTATGTTTACATTTGTTGAACGGTCAACATATATAGTAATATTACTCTATTACACAATAATAATGAGTTTTGTTGTGTTTATATTATTTTGCTAGAGATTAATATAGCAATATTATTGTGTTAAACTGTAGTACAGTTAATTTTATTATGTTTAACAATAATATAGTTAATATTACTGTCAATCACAGAAATATTGTTGTTTAAACGAAGAAATACAAATGTCAAAAGAAAAAAAAAAAAAAAAAAAAAAAAAACCGAAAAAGTCAACGCTCGAGACCGGCGTTGACCGCAGGAAACCGGTGGCGAAAAAAAAAAGTCAACGCCGGAGACCGGCGAAGAAATTTGGAAAAAAAAAAAGAGAAATCGAAAAGTCAACGCCGAAATCCGGGCGGCAAAAACAAATTTTGAAAAAAAAAAGTTTTGGGTCAAAATTGAATAATTTGTGAAATTTGGGGTCATATTAACGTATGAGGGGCTATTTTAGTCTTTTACAAAAATCTGGACCATGTGTGGACTTATTTGTCAATAAGTTTTTTGTCTGAATTATTTATGAAAAGACCCCATTGATGGGCTTATTTGTAAAGACCCCTAAAATTTTATGGAGGAGAAAATCATTAATCTCGAGTACCGGATATATATCAAGACCAATGAAATGAATAAATATTATTTTAATTACGTAGCTAAACGATAATATTATAATTGTATAATATATTATGGGTACATTTGATATACACCCCTAGTATGGAAAATATATAGGGATAAGTCCACCCCTAAAATTCATCTGTTAAGATACCCCTGAGAGGCAAAAGTACTATTGTGCCTTAAGTGTAATTATTGCCCAACTGCATCTGTATTTTCGCCACTGCATTCAGCAAAATGCCCAACCGCATTCAGCAATTTGGGTCTGTATTTATCATTTTATAGATTTTTTTAAAAACAAAATATAAATGTTCATTGTATTATTATTTTTTATATATACCCTATTTTGTATTTTTTATTATTATTTTTAATTTTTTTTAATTTCTTTAATTTTTAATTTTTTTTTAATTTATTTAATTTGTAATTTTTTTTTATTTATAATTTTTTAATTTTATTTTTTACTTTTTCTTGATAAATTTACTGTACTAAATTTGACTACACATGACTATATTATACTACACATAACTATAGTGTACCAGCGTCATGTATAGTTTATATGTAATCATGTACTGTCTTTTTATCCCAAAATTAATCTACACCAACAACAAAATTCGCAATTTTAATCCTAATATTATAAATCAACTAACCCAAAAAAAAAATGAAAACACAATCACATCCATATAATCTTCAAAGCATGAACAAGCATTACTATACATTAAAAAAAAAATAACACACATATAACCAGTGTTCTAAAAATCAGCCGAGGCGGCCGATTAATCGATCTCCGAGGCGGAGGCGGTCCAAAACCTTTACGATTTTAGTGTAAAGGTTTGAAAAATCGGATTTTTACCTGTGAGGCGGTCCGACAAGGTCTTAGGCGGTCATCCTTTAAGGCGGGTCAAACTTCGGTGGCAAAAATCGGCAAAAAATCAGTCAAAATCGGTTTTTTTTTTTCTTTTTTTTTATAATTCAAAATAAAAGTTCGGATTTTAATAAAAAAATGATTTTATGCTTTATTTTGTTTATGTTAACTATTATTATTAAAGAACTAATGATGTATGCGAGGAATGTATGCACTTTCAAAAAATTGTCTTTTTGTTTATATTTTATAAAGATATTTATGTATTATGATTTTATTATTATTAATTTTTTATTATGTTATTAGGATATATACATGATGGAGATATAACTATATTTAAATATCTTTTTATCTATGTTTTGAGTATTTATAAATAATACCTACAAATATATTATATTAAATTTTAAAAACCGATTTATCAACGATTAATCACCGCCGTACCGATTAATCGTGAGTCGGTCCCTGACAGCCTCCGACCCGATTACCGCTTTTTACAACCTTGCATATAACTATATGTTACTACACGTGACTATAGTTATCTATACAAGTGGCATAAGTCTGGAGTACTGTAGCATGAATGCAACTTCACATGACACTTCTATGCATCTTATTCTTTGCATCTCATAATGTTAAGCAAAACCTGTGACAAAAAAATACAAGTTAAAGAAAATGAAGAACAAAATGGAAAAAGCGAATTACATTACATGAAAAAATACGAAAAAACAGTGAAAGAAATTATTTTGATAAATTTATTTTGGTGAACTATAGTCACAAGTAGTTGTTACTGCATATGACTAGATATGATTATATGTAGTGACCTATAGCCACATGTAGTTATGTTCATTCTTTTTACTACATGTGACTATATATGACTACAGTACGTGACTATATTTGTATATTAGTAAAATTCATCTACACCACCAAAAAATTCAAAAAATTGACAATTGCAACTATATAAGATGATGAATAGAACAATGTGGTTGAAAAAAAAACAGAAAAAAGACACAACATTTAGTTGTTTGAAACAGAAGAGCAGAAACACAAATACAAACACAACAGAAGAATCGAGTGAGAGTAAATCACGAGATATATTAACAATTACTTGTTGACCTTGCTACTATTCCAAATTATTCATTCTACACAATTAAGAGAGAGAGATATGATATATGAACGAAAGTGGTTGCAATTAATTTACCAGTGACTGTGGCGACGGTGAGCGGTGGGCGACGGAGTGGCGTTGGGTGGCGGAGGGCGGCTGTTAGTAACGGAGTGGCAGTGAAAGGCTGAGGGTATAGAGAGATGGAAGAGGTGTGGCGGCAGAGATTTGGCAGTGGGAGGCGAGAGATAAGAGAAAATGATGGTGGGAGGAGTGAGGAGTAGAAACACCAGGAGGAGTGGAGATGGACGACGGAGGAGTAGCGGGACCAGGTGCTCCGGCAGGGGAAGTGGGAAGAGAATGGGGAGAAACGGTGGGGGAATCGGACGGCGGAGATGATGCGGGCGGCGTAATGGTGGTTGATGGTGTTGTTGCCACCGGCGTGGGCGGCGCCGCCACGGGTGCTATTGTTGGAGCTGACTTTGGTGTGGCTGATGAAGCCTGAGATAGATCAGATCCAGCCACCAACGCGACGATCAGTACCAGCCTAGCTCCGAAATACTTGACCGCCATTGCTGAATTTTTCAAGTTTATTCTTTTTTTCTCGAATTTGCAAGAGAGAGAGAGAGAGAGAGAGAGAGAGAGAGAGAGAGAGAGAGAGAGAGAGAGAGAGAGAGAGAGAGAGAGAGAGAGAGAGAGAGAGAGAGAGAGAGAGAGAGAGAGAGAGAGAGAGAGAGAGCGCAAACAGTGGAAGCTCTTCAAATTTGAGAGAGATAAGAGAAAACGACCTGGGAGGAGGGAGCCAGAAGAGACCGAAAGTTGAGAGAGGGTTTTAAATTGTAACTAAGGGCAAAACAGGTATTTTAATTTGTCTAGGGGTCTATCAAATTAATATTAGAATTTAGGTTTTTTACTAGGGAAGAAAAATTCATAGGACCTATTGATACGCATAAAACCTACGTATGAAAAACCGCAAGTGTACAGTATCGCGTTTTGTAGAATAGTGAATTCAAGATATCGATCCACAGGGAATTAAGTTCCTAAATCTACCAAGTACCGTAATTATACTATCCTAAACGTTATCTAGACGATCGAAAGGATGAGGGATGAAATGATGCCAAAAGGAAACAAAAATAAAAACACCGGTCAGCCAGGACAAGCAAGGAATTCCGACGTGTGATGGCTTCTAGGGTAAAATCCACCAGTGTATTATCGATAAATCTGAATCTATTGTCAATTCTATGTTCGCTAACCCAGACACTAAAATACCCTAACCCTCGTCTCCAGTGTAGTTAGAGTCTACCCACATGTCCGACGTCTCCGTTCAGAACCTGATATTAAGAGAGCATTTAGGTCAAGTCCTTAAGGGCTACGCGAGGTGCATCACGTCTCCGTTTCCACAACCCGAGCTATGTTTTCCTAAAATCAAACGAGAAATCCTCTCTCGAGTTCATTCCCATTTAGAATCAATTCAACTATTGGCCAAACAATCGAAAGCATTTAATACAGGAAAACATAAACATAATCAAAGAACGTCAAATAGATCACATATCTGGAAATCAAAATCAATATATACAAGGTTTCATTTCCCCTAAAAGAAAATGCTCAGTTCATTACAAACATAGAATCAAAATGAAGAACACGAGAAATTATAAACTAAACGTAAAGAAAAGCTTATGAAAAACCCGAGTCGAAACCCTTGTCGAAGCTTCCCGCGAAGAACTGGCGAGAACCGAAGAGAAAACCGAAGAAAAGGTCAAGATATCGTCGAGAGGTTCAAAAATGAAAAAGGTGTTAAAGTGGGTGACCAACAAGCCAACTTGTGGTCGTGGTCTTTCTCTTTTTACTTGTAATAAAACGATCGTTTTTCGTTCGTAATAATAAAATATTTCATTTGGCATTCTATATCTCTTATCCCATGCAAGTAGCATAGATATAGTCCTAACGAGTTACTCTATTACTGTGAGTTGATCTAGTAGAATCATGAGATAACTCAGCAATGTAATGTAACTGTTAAACCTTGTTCCTAGTCGATGGGTTACGCCAATAATGAGGATACCGGCCTTTCCCTTTTGAGACTAGCACTTAGTGTATGTGTACTGCGTCTCATCAGTCCTCGATGTTGTGCCATCGGCATACTTGAGTGGGTGCTCATACTAGATGAGTTCACTGAACTCCCTCGCCCTAGAAATCTATAAGTGGTTCTCATTCATCGAGTAATAGGTTTCTAAGATATAGTTGTACACCATTAGTCCTTAAGACCCAGACATCACCGTGACTTCACTAGAGGACCGATTGTATCGTGACCTGTCCCTGAGTCCCACAGCGGACCACTCCAAGGGCCAATGTTCGTGCAATCCGAAATCTAGTGTGAATTCTGTGCATTGCAGTAGGGGATTCGAGCGCTTGAGTAGTCATGGATGTCCTGCGTGTTCTAACGGTTATAATCCAAGGAATCTCTGGCCATAGTTGATAGTGGGGTGATTAGGGAAATGTGTTTCCCTAAGTCACACACGAACGGATTTATAATACCTAGAACGTTCGCACGGTCATTGAACTTTATAAGAGGTCTCGGTGAACCAATGCCTCTAGTTCAATCGGGACATGTGCTGCGAAGGGATCGTACTGTACGCTAACTATATCATAAGGTTCTTGCAGGCACTTCACTTGTATCTAGGGAATCATGATGCGTAGTTGCTAGACGCCAATCTTGATTCGTTGGGCACCGATTTGATCGGCGATGAAGTAAAATGAGTTTTACTCTAATCGGGACTATTGGGAGGAGTTCGTATAAGAACAATGTGTTGTTCGAATCACAAAGAGTTGTGAGCCCACGGCTAACATACACCTGGACCATTGAGGGTCACACTTCTCGTGTAATACGGATCCTTGATAACAATGAGCATAGGTTAATATGTTAATCTTTGCAAAGTTGGAGGTCAATATGATTGAGTCCAAGATTCGTGATTGTGGATTACGAGTCGGAATGAACGTAGAGAAAGAGAGACATGCAGATTTTAGTGAACTTTCTAAATTGGAAAGTTTCCCGATTTAGCAGGTCCACTGAAGTGGAAGTTTCCATTTTTGGAAATTGGAAATTTCGAAGAGGCACTCGTATCGACGAGGACTTTGAGATCGTCACAAATATAATTTTGTTATAATTTTGTGAACGATCGTTTGTTAGAAACGAGGTGGACGAGGGAATGGGCTTAATGCATCAGTGGGTCAAGCCCAATGACTTAAACCCACAAGGGTTGAGAACCCTAGTATAAATATACCTCAAACAAGAGTTTGAGATCAGATTTTTTACTCCAAAAAAACCCTAGCCGTCAAACCCTAGCCGCCCAAGCCTCTCGGCCACCGCTGCCCCGCCGCACCGGCGCCGTCCGCCGCCGGAAACCGCCGGTTTTCCCTCTTCTTTCTCTCTCGTATTTCCCTTGTTATCTAACCCCTTTGTATCTAGTGCTACAGTAGGGGGGGATCGGTTTTTTCGAGGTGAAACCTGATTGGAGAGGAGCTGCTGCCCCGAAGGAATCACCACACCGCCGCTGCACCGCCGCACGCGCCGCTGCACCGCCCATGCGCCGCCGCCGCTGACTTGCACGCGCCGCCGTTGCCTCACCGTCGGACCAGCTGCCGTTTAGTGGTATTCTTGCAGCCCCTAGGAGTGGTGTAACGCAGCTTGTACGGGTTTGAGTTCGATTTCGATTCGTCGAAATCTCACGCTACAAGAGGTAATTAAATCGAAACTTTCATAAATTTAATTCGAAAATGTTTGTATGAATTTTAATTTACGAGCATGTGCGATATGTGATTGCGTGTTTCGATTTTGTAATATGATGAACAAGCATGTTTTATATTTTTCGGTTTTACATGTTTATAGTAAAATCGATAATTACCATATGTATGGCGGAAGCGTTAAGGTAAGTTGACTATGTGATTAGTTTATGCATGTAATCGAAACTAGTTCGATCTAAAATTTTTAAATTTCGCTGCGTATACATGCACGATCCCCAACAGTGGTATCAGAGCCACGGGTTAATCGTTTATTTGTTAACGTGTTTATCGCTTTCGAAAGCATGCTTCGATTTGTTGAATTGTTGAATTTTCGGTGTTATCAAATTGGGTGGTTTAATATTAATATTTATGATATTAATATTAAGGGTAAATTACAAACACCCCCCCCCCTGAGGTATGGTCAAATTACAAAACCCCCCTCTTGTTTGGATAATTACATCTACCCCCCTTAACTATGATTTTTTCTTAGACCTCCACCTTTATGGTGCCAAATTCAACATAATCATCTAGATTCCGTGAAATGTGCTCTAGTTTGTACTATTTTTGTGTACAAAATACAGTTTCCGATGCACCACAAACTGATATATACAAGCTAAAAATCACATATTATGATCATCTTGCTTCATAATGTAGTGTTTGAATGGGATAAAACGGGTACAAAAGTGATAATATTCCATATAATCTCGAAGATTTCACTAAATTTGATGAGTTGAGGGGGTGGTTGTAATTATCCAAACAAGAGGGGTGTTTTTACAATTTGACCATACCTCAGGGGGGTGTTTGCAATTTACCCTAATATCAAAATTAATTGATTTTTAATTTTTGAAATTATTTATCAATTAAACCCAATTAAATAATTGATCGATTAATTTAATTTGAATTCAAAGAATAGTGTTGGATTAATTATTTAATTTAATCGTTAAATTAGTTTAATTAATGGAACACAAATTAAATGGCAAATAATTAATGGACTTCATTCTTATTTGATTGATTTATGAATGAAGGGAGTCCGTTAATTATATTTGCAATTTATCATATTAATTAATTAATTCATGAGATGAATGATTGTAATTAAGTACGATGATGATCGTATGTCTCTCTTAGGATCAATATGCGTTTCCACATTCCTAGAGAACATAGTTGTAGGAATCACAAACGATCATAACCTAAAACTTTCGATGAGCTAATAAGATTTAATAAATAAAATCCCTCATTCTTAATCAAGAATAATTATCAAGCTATAAAGAAAAACCAAATTGTTGAATTTTTCTTTCCTTCTACCAACAATTAAATTATGTGTAGCCTCTCATAATAGTGCAGTAGGCCGTGTTAGCGGGGAGTGCTATTGTGGGATAAACTGTAATTTAATTGACATTAGATGGAAATACGGTCATAGATAAAATTATATTGGATTAATGTGGTCGGCTAGATTAACTAGGGATTGCATTAGTTTGATATAGTTGGATCTATGACATCTCATATTGGTAGGCTAGACTTGACACACGAAGATTTTGATATTCGCTAGATTAACTTAGGTCATTATCGAGTGTGAGGTAAAACAAACTTTAGGGTCACATAGTGATGTGATTGATAGTACTCTACCTTTAGGCTTATGTAATCGGGATAGATTAACTACGGCTTACATTAGCGCTATTGGACCTAAAGCCCATTAAAGAAAAATAAGTTTTCTCGATTGTCTGCTAGAGGGTGGTGGAATTCGATAAAATTAGTGGGAGAACAATTAAAACATAAAAGTCCAAAATTTTAATTGTAAC